AAGGGTTCCTCTGCTGACTCTGGCTTGGGAAGTCTAAGGAATCAGTGCTCAGGGCTGATGCACACCTGAGGCCAGACCTCCCTGTCGTAGCCCCAGGGAATGCCAGGTGCACCCTGGGTCAACTAGGGATGAGCCTAACCCAGAGAGCCCAGCTCTAGGGAGTGAGGCTTTTCACTCAGAGTGCATCTCTTTCCTTTCTTGGGTGTCCTCAGTGAGTTCCCTCTGACAGCAAGAATGTCTTTATGATTCAGTGTAGCTGGTTCTGGCCGTGGTCTCCTGAACCCAGCACTCTGCAGCTCTCAGGATAGCCCCCAGGGATCTGCTCACCTTCCCACTTCTCAGTTCAGCCCTGAATGTGTGCCAGATTTCAGGCCTGCACAGAGGCACTTCCCAGTCAATAGTGGGCTTTGTTTCCTGGTCTCTTTGGTCACAAGGTACAGCACTTTGAAGGCTAAAGGTGGAGGTAGGTGAGAGCTTGAGGACTGAGCCCTGAACCCAGTTTTCAAGACCTTTTTGGGGAAACAATCTCATCTTTGGGCCAAAGGCCCACTCTGGGGTTATCTCCCCAATTGCTTGACCACCTCTCCCTCATCCCCAAGCTGTCCTTCACACATCCCTCACAGGTCAGTGACACTTGGGAGTTTTCTGCTCCTGGCTCCCAGGATTCTGACATTTTTTCTTTTGGAAGGATTTCCTAGGACCTGCCAGCTCAGTGTCATCTGCAGAGCTTATGGTTCTCAGTGTTTAGTTTCTGTCTACCTCTGAGTGGTCTGTCGTTTGCTCTCTGTCTCTGCTGCTCTCTCCTCTCTGCTCCTGTTTCTAGCCTGTGCTTTCAGGCTGCTCCAGGAGTTGACTCTCTCCTGCCTCTTCTCCCTACACTAATGCAGCCCCTCACCCCTGCATGAGTCTCTTTACTAGGGGCTGGTTATAAGCCTGTACCTGCTGTTCCTCAGGAGGGGTCCTGCCCCAGGGTTTACGTGTCATGTACCTTAGGACCAGATAGGAGCATGAAGGTGATAAAAAGGAGCCATGGCTGAGCCAAGCAGAGGAGCTTATGTTCTGCCCCCGGGAGCTTCCTGGAAGGGTACCTCCTGAGTGAGGGCAGGCAAGACTGCAGAGGCCTTGTTGGGAAGTATGGTTCCATGCTGCGGGGCCCCACCCTGGACTCAGAACTGGCTTTCTCAGCACAGACACATTTTGGCTTTGGCCCTGCTAGTCCTCCCACCCCCGACTTCACCCCAAATAGCCCACAGGGACCCATTGCCATCCTGGGGACCACCCCATCAGAATTACATCAGCAGTGGCTGGTGTAATCAAACCTTATTTGTCAGTGTGAATTCTTAGCAGATTAACTTGTCAGATTCACAGAGAAACCGTCACTAAATGTTTATGTGTAAACGATGTTGAATTTTAAAATCATGTGGATTATGGCGGATGGGGCCTGACAAGATGACAGCCTCTGGTTTCTAACAAAGTGAAGTTACCAGTGTCAAAACAGAGGATGTTTATTGTTAAAAATGTCTCAAAGTATCCACAGAAACCCCTGCAGACCCCTGCCAGCAACGTCGGGCCTTGGTTGGCCAACCTAAGGCCTGGGACGCTCCTGGTCTGAGGCCCAGGGCAGGAATGGCGGGGCTGTGACAGACACAGCCAGCCAGCTGGGAGCCCCCCTGAGGCCTGCATAGTACCTCCCAGGCCCACTCTCACCTGCAGAGGGCCCTGCCCAGCCAGCTGAATAGGTTTTGAGCATCCCCTTCCCCAGGGCCACCTTCCTCTCCCCTCTGCCCACCACAGCCCCTTGCCACCCTTCACATTCCCTTCCTCCTGTCCCTTTCTCTTACCACCAGCCCCACAAACCTCTCCCTCCTAAATCTTCCAAACGCGTCCCCAGGCTGAAAGCCAGTGCTCAGCCTCCCTGCCTGGAGCTGGCAAGCCTGAAACTGCTCAGGTCAGACATGGATGTTTGCAGTCCCCATCCCCGCCAGCCCACGCAGTCAGTGAGCACCACAGGGCACTTCCTGTGCCCTGCTGTCTGCTGGACCTCCGTCAGGAGGGGCCCAGCCTGGGACTGAGGAGCAGACTCGCCACCCAGGCAGGCATGCCAAGGGTAGGAATGTCACTTGTGCAAGTGCTTGTCCCTGGCTTCAATTCTCTCCAATGTGTTAAAGATTAGGGAGTTAGGGAAAGAGAGGTAGTGGGGAGATTGTGCTTAAAAAAAAAAAAAGAAAGAAAGTCATCTAAAAAGAATGAAAGCTATCTGTGCCACTATAGAAAAGATATTTTAAGTATATAAACTCTGAGTAAGTGTGGCTAATATGATCACGATGATGTAGGAAAAAAGGCTTATACGTACAAGTGTATGTACTTGTAAATGTGCATAAAGAAACCTGGAAGGATACACAGATCTTCCTCTTGGGTACGAGACAGAGAGCTGGGGTAGTCATCCTAACTCTGCTCTTCCCTTTTCCTCTCCTGTACTGTTAGAGACTTTTGCCTGCACACATGGATTACTTTTACTTAGCAGGGACAGTCAGTTGGCCAAAGCCTTGGTAGCACAATTCTGCCAAGACCCTTACCCCCTCCTCTCCTCAGGGCTCCCTTGAGTTAACCCCTCTCCCCACATCTGGAAAACCCTAGATACATTTTCTGTTCCATCTTTAGTTTTCTACCTCTGGATGCCTAAACCATCAACCTGCTGGCTTTCAGAGGGAGAGAACTTGTTAAAAAAAAAAAGTGGGGGTTTTGCCAAAAAAAATTAAAAGTGGGGGTTGAGGAGAGCTGTGTTGTGATCCAGGGCCAGCCGTGTGGTGAGGAGTAGAAAGCAAGGGGCTGCTTCTGCTCCCTCAGTTCAGGGTGCTGGGAGACAGGTCTCGAGGCTGGCGGGTTTGGGCTGCCCTCAGGAACTAGTCAGAAGAGTCCTGCATGGGAGGCAGGAGTCAATGCAGAAGCGTGGTGCAGCCCTCTCTACATCAGTTGCAAGGGGGCCCCCAAGGCTGAGAGAGCCCGGGTAGAAGAAAGGACTTGTGGAAGGGCCAAGAAAGGCTGGCGTGGCACCCCCACCCCCAGACCACATTCTCCAGGGTGAGGAGAGCAGCCCGTGCCCCTGCCTCCTGTCCTCAGTGACAGCCTTCCACTCTCGTGCCTACAGAGGAGCCCATCCGGCTGCTGCGGGAGGTGGTGCTGTTGACGGATGACCGGAACCTGCGTGTGAAGGCACTCACAAGGAATGTACCTGTACGGGACATCCCAGCCTTCCTCACATGGGCCCAGGTGGGCTGAGGGAGCCACACTGGGACCCACCCCCTTGGAACCATTCCTGAAGGGCCACCAGGCGCCCAGTGTAGCACAGAAGATGCCCACGTGCCTGAGCACCAATCCACCCAGACAATAAACCATCCTCTTCCAACCCACGCCGTGGCCATGCTGTGGGGGAACTACTACTCACAGAGCCCCTCCCAAGGATTGGGCGGAAGCTGCTGGGACCCTCCTGGGCTGCAAAGATTTAGCAGGGAAGTGGCTGGCTGCAGTAGCAGCAGCAGCTGGGCAAGCGAGATAGGCCGCCCATGCCTTCAGACTTTCTCCCTCCCCCGTTTCATCCCAAGGCTGCAGGGGCCTTCTGGCCTGGAACACAGCCACTTTCTCCAGTGGAAACAGGGCAAGGGTTTTCGAGTTTCCATCAGCTGCAGTGGAATCACAGGTCCCTTTCCTCTTCAGAATCTCTGTCCTGAATGTTCAAGAGGCTTTGGTTATGTCAGGAAGCAAGTACCCAAGGTGTGTCTCTCCACCTCCCTGTGCCTGGACTCGCCCATGGACCCCAGTGGCTTCTGGACACCGTCTCCCTAACAGCAGCCCTGGGTCCCCACCTCTTCTACCATCCACCCCAGGCACAACACACACCCATCCTGCTGCTTTTCTTCCTGCCCTTATCCATCTGGGTCCCTCAAACTTTGCCACTGGTTTCCCCTTGGACAGTCATGGGTCTAGAGAAAAGGGATATCTGGTCCCAGGCCCATGCTCCCTGGGTGGCCTCCACCTGCACCCTCTCCTCACTGGCCTTCCTTCACTCTAGCTTCCTCTTCAGGAAATGTCCTCAGACTTCTTGGCTCCCCTCACCCCACCCTACAGAATTGCCCCTCACACTCCTCCCCTTCTAGCTGAACCTTCTGGCCTCCCTGATCCCTTTTATTTCTTCTCCTCAGTTCCTCCCATAGGGGTTCTCACTGAACTGCCCTCTACTCCCTGTGGCAGGAACCTAGTACAGCTTTCCCACCCAGGGCCTTCCACCCTCGGCTCCTGTGCTGGGAGAACCTTCCCAGGTGTGGGCAGCCCACCCTGAGACCTTCCAGTGCCTGCCGTAACATCACCACCCAGAGTTGCCACCTGGTTTCTAGCTTTGCCCTCACTTCCCAGAACAGACGCAGGGGCCCTTTCCTTGCCCCTTTAGCTGGTCCCTCAGTGGGGAGGCTTTTTTTTTTTTTTTTTTTTACCAGGAATGAGTTCCTCCAACCCAGGGCCAGTGACAAGGACTTAGGGAAAACAGTGCGTTAGGTGGAGCCGGGGCAAATCTTAATGGGACCAGTGGGGGATGCCCCAGAGCCCAAGGCCTGACTGCACAGCTTTGCCCCCCTGAGGCCCAGGACTATGCCAAAACAGAGGCACTGTGCTGGCAACCCAAGGCCAATAGTTTGGGGGTGTGAGTCCCCTAGAATCTCAGATGGCGGGGCTCTTTGGAGTGCAGGGTCCCTGGCTTCTCCTTTAAGATCCTCTCCCCAGCCCATAGGCGGAGGACTGGGGGTTGGGAGGGAGACCCATCTCTCCTTGCTGTCCCGTTTGCAGCACTGGTTTTGTTTCCTTAATAAATTTTTAGTTATGAAACATACCTGACCTCTTGCTGATCTGTTTCGGGGACGGGAGGGGAGGGTGGCCCTTTCTGGCCCCTCCCAGCAGGTGCGACCACCTAGGTCCTTGTGCAAGGGCAGAAGAGAGAGCAGGGGTCGGGGTCCTTGGTTACTGCTTTATTGCTGTTTGGTTCGAGTATAGAAAATGGAAGCGGCTCTGGAAGAGCCTGTGTACAAGGTAGGAAATACACAAAGAGGAGGGAGCTAAAGAGACCGCGATCCAGCCCAGCCCAGCCTGGGCTCGGGATGGGGGGCCGCCGGGGCGCATGCAATAAATATGGTCCGGGGCCCCAGGGAAGGGAGGGGGCACCGTGGGAGTGGGTGAGCTGGTAGGCCAGGGCTCTTAAACCTCTTGACTCCAGAACTCCCCGCCCTCGGTGGTCGAGGAAGGAAGGGTTGGCCCTGGGGCTAGTGCCACTTGTGCAAAATGAGGAACTTCACATTATCAGTCCCGGGGTGGGGGGGAGCGGGGTGCGGGGGGCCCTCCGGCCGGCTCAGTCCCCTCCCCACTCCCCAGCTGTGCCCGACGCTCCGACCCCAGCGGGGAGATTCACAGTGAGAATGGGTGTGGTCGCAAGGGCCGGAGGTAGGGCCAGGAGTGCCCCAAAAGTGACACCCCTCCCACTAAGAGCAGCGCGGAGCCAGGGGAGGGGGCCAACGAACCACAGGAAGAGGCGGGGAGGAGCCTGGGGTCTCCTTTGGTCAAAGCTGATATCAAAAATATAGATTTCCCTTACCCCATCCCATCCCCGTCCCGGGGTTACCCCCCTCCCCCCGAGCTAAGGCACAAAGCAGTGAGGCCAGGTGAGGCCGCCAGAGGTGGGGCCGCCACTGCGGAGACGCAGTCGTGGGGGCTGGGGTTGTCCTGGGCACGGTTGGCCTGCGCTCCGCCCCCGCCGCCCCCGGGGTGCAGGCCCGGGCCGCGCAGCAGCGACTGGGTGGGCGGGCGGGCCAGGGGCGCACTAGGTGGGAGAGAAACGGTCGATGGTCCGGCCGTCGGGCCCGGCCGCCAGGTGGGCGCCCTGGCTCAGCACCTCGGCCGCTTTGTCAGGACTGAGGCCCAGCTCGGCCGTGAACTTGGCCAGTGGGTAGAGGCTCTCCAGCGCCACCTTGGGGTCGTGCAGGAAGTGCGTGGTCTGCGCCAGCAGCTCGGCCGCAGCCGCTTTGTCCTGCTGCTTCAGGCTCAGCTGCTCGGCCGTGAGGCGGGCCACGGCGAAGACGCCCTCGGGGAAGTCGAGCTTGCCCTTGCCGTCCGGGCCGGGGACGCCGGGGAGCCCCCCCAAGCCCGCCAGCGCCCCGGCTGCGCCGGCCGCACCCCCCACAGCGTGCATCTTCATGTGGCTGATGAGGTTGCGTTGCTGCGCGAATTTGCCGCCGCACACCTGGCACTCGTAGGGCTTCTCGCCGGAGTGGATGCGCATGTGCTCGGTGAGGCGGTACTGGCGCGTGAACCGCATGCCGCACGCGTCGCACGCAAAGGGCTTGAGGCCCAGGTGGCTGCGCATGTGGCGCGTCATCGTCCCGCGCTGCGTGAACTTCTTCCCGCAGATGGTGCACGGGTAGGGCCGGGTCAGCCAGTGCGTCTTCTCGTGCTGCCGCAGCGTGGCCGGGTCCTTGTAGCTCTTGTCGCACGACGCGCAGCGGTAGGGCCGCAGCAGCTCTCCCAGGCCCCCCGGAGCCCCGGCGACCTTGTCCCCGCCACCTCCAAAAGGGGGGCCGAGGCCGGCGGCCCCCGCGGCCACTTCGGCCGCCTCGGCCCTGCCGTACAGCGCCTCCTCCTCCTCCACGTGCGCCTCCACGTGCGCGTTCAGCTGCTCAGAGCTGGGGAAGCCCTTGCCACACGGGATGCACACGTACAGGTTGTCGCCGAAGCTCTCGGGCTCGCCGTAGGCCAGGTGTGGGCAGGGGTAGCCCTCGAGGTGGCCACCGGGCGGGCTGGGGTCCTCGCTGCTGCCGGTCTCCTCGCTGCTGCTCTTGTAGTCGTCGCCGTCGCCGCCTGCGCCAGGCCCGTCCAGGCTGCCTGGGTAGCGCGGCGGCGGCGCCAGGCCAAGCGGGGGTCCCCCGGGCGAGACGGCCGCGTCCCCACCGCGCTCTTCGCAGCGCTCGCTGGGGGAGCCGCGCTCCCGGCCCAGCTCATCGCCATAGCTACCCAGACCCGGCTCGTGCTTCATCCAGCGGTAAAGGAGACTCGTCCCGTCGGGGCGGCCGGCGGGCTCGGGTCCCGGGCTGCCGCTGCCGCCGCGAAACGGGTCCGAGGGCGGTGCGGCCTCCTCCAGCTTCTGGAAGGGCAGCGGCAGCGGCGGCAGGACGAGCGGCGGCTCCTTGTAGGCGGCGGGACCGGCGCTGGGAGGGCTGTCCGGGCGCGGGGGCAGCTCGCGCTCAGCCAGCGGCCGCTCTGGCGCCGCGGAGCCTGGGGGGCTCTTTTTGGACAGGTCCAGGCCGCACAGAGGGGAGCAGCGGCGCTCCGAGACACAGAGGGCGGCGGCCGGGCCGGGCCCCGAGGCATACAGCTCGGCGCAGTGCGTGTTGACGGCGGCCTCGGGGCCCGGGGGCGGCTCCGCGGCGGGCGGCGGCGGAGGCCCGGCCGGGGACGGGTAGCAGGTCTGGATGACCGGCGTGGCGGCCCGCAGGCCCCTGCCTGGCCGGCCGTAGGGCGCGTAGCCGCCGCCGCCGCCGCCGCCACCCCGCAGGTGGCAGTACTTGCCGTGGCGCTTGAGGCGTTTCTTGCACAGAGCCACGAGGTCGGGGATCTGCAGGTAGCTGGCGGCGGCCAGCACAGCGCCCAGGCTCGGCTCGGCCCCCGGGGCCACGGCCGCCGCCGCCGCCTCCTCCGCGCCGTCAGCCAGGCGGCCGGTGTAGATAAAGTCCAGCACCAGGCGGAACACGGCCGGGCTCACCATGTCATGGTCCAAGTTGAGCAGGTTATCGTGCACCACCAGGGACTTGAGGTAGGCGCTGCTGGCGGCCAGCACGTTCTTGTGCGCGCGGAAGAGGGCGTTCTGCACCACGATGATCACGTCGCACAAGAAGCCTTTGGTGCGCTGGCTGTTGAGCTGCAGTAGCAGCTGCCGGGAGTGTCCGGGCGCCTCCATCGTGTCCAGCATCGTCTGCCCAGCACACTCTCCTGCGGGGACACACACTGGCCGGTGAGAGCGTGCGGCGGTGGCCGCCTGGCCCCAGCCCGGCACGTCTCTTTCCACTTCCCTTCCTCAGCTGAGCGGGGGCATCAGCACTGCGGCCTGGGCACCGGCGAGGACCCGCCGCCCTCTGCAGTGGGAGCCCAGGCCTGCCCACCCGGACCGGGAGAAAGAGCAAGACCAGAGCGACCGCCGGCGGAGGGCGGAGGGGAGGCCAGGCCGACCTGCACGCCCAAGGCCCAGACGCCGCGGGGCACCCGGCTGGGCGCTGGGGCTTCCGAGGAGAGAACTGTTAGGGCGAAGTGACCCTCTGGGAGACAGTTACCCGATTTAAGTAAAATGTCCGCTTCGGGAAAAGTCATTTAGGGCGGAGAAGTTTGCCCAAGTAGGGAGAAAGGGAGCCGGGCAGCGAGCGCCTCCCGCCTCGGGAGAAGTTGCCCCAGCTAGTGGAAGTGATACGGAGGAGGGGAGTGCGATGCCCGCCCTGGCGCCGCCCTGGCCAGGGGCTGTCAACCCTCGGTCGGGGCCCGGGCAGAGGCCGCGTGGGGAGCGGAGGCAGCAGCTGCCGCGGCAGGCAGAGCGCGAAGGCCCGGCCCGGCGCGGGGAGGGCGTTATATCGGGGCAGGAGGCTGAGGCAGGAAGCAGGTGGGGGGGCGGGGGGAGCCACGCAGCTCCCAGGGGAGGGAGGGGGCAGCGCCCCGGGCGGGCACTGCGCACAGCCGGCTGCGGCCCTGACCCGGGCCTGCGCCCCACCCGCGTCCCGGCCTCGGCCTGGGCCCTACACGCGCGGGCCTGGCGCCTCCCTCCGCGGCTCCACCGGCCCCTTCTCCCCCGGAACTCCGCCACCCCAAACTTGGGGAAAAGTTTTCCAACTGCAGACAAGGCGGGAGGAGCGCGCCGGCCCTAGGCCCCCGGCTCGCAGCTCTTCCTCGCGGCCTTCAATTCCGGCGGCAGATCCCGGGGCCGAGCCCCGAGTCCGCTGCCCTGCGGCTCGCTCGCCTGTCCGTCCCCGTTCCCCTCCTGGCCCGCGGGGCTCCGCGGCCCGTTACCTGTGGCCCCGGCGAGCCGGGATCCCCTCCCCGCGGCGTTGGCAGCTCCTAGCCGGTGTCCCACCCGCCACTGCCAGGCCCCGAGCTGTGCCAGGGCAGCGCCCCTGCCAGCCCCGCCCGCCGGCTCCCCTTCCCTTCCCCTCGCCTCTGCAGCCCATGTGCGGGCAGAGCCGGCCCCGGGCAGCTGACCCCTCCGTGAACCCGGAGCGGAGCGGCGGCCAGGCGGTCCCGAGTCCGACAGGGACGACACCCGGAGCCCTGAGCGCTAGCCGCCAGCCCGCGATGGGCTGCCCGCGCCAGAGGATGCGCCCGAGGCGGCGACGCGCGAGGACCGGGCTGTCCCGGGCCCCGGTCCCTCCCGGTCCCCGGCTCGAGGACCCACCTGGGGGGCATGTCGAAAGCCCCGGGCCCGGCTGCCGGCGGATCCAGGGAGGACGTGGCTGCGCTGCCCTCCGCCCGCCGGGCCCCCGGTCGGTCTGTCCTGCTGGTGCGTCCTCCCCGCGTCCTGGTCGCGTCTCAGCCCCGCCGCGCTTTCCGCACACTCTTATCTGGAGCGGCCCGGGCCGGCAGGCGCCGCTGCGGCTATGGCGCCACCTCGCGGGCGCGCGGGGCTCTGCGGGCCAAGCCGCTGCCTTCCTCCCGCGCACCTGGGCTGGAGACGCACAGATGCTGAGCGACGGGGAGGGGCCCACCGCGCCCCATCCGCAGGCACGCCCTCCCACACGTGCCCATTTGGCATCCCGACACCGGACACGTGAGCCCTGGAAACCCTGGGCTTTGAGCTGAACGCTCCCATGTACGTATTTCTATATACACAGCCCCAGTTCGGAAAAGCCCTGCCCGCAATGACGGGACTCTGGTGGGAGGGGAGAGGTTATCCTAAGCAGGAGTAACCAAGCTCTCCGGGAACTCTACGAGGACGATACCGTACGGTACTGTCCACTTGGACGCACGACCCAACACACCCACCCTCACTCAGGCGCATGGATTCGGCGTGCGTGGCATGAACCTGTTTGTCCCAGCCCTCTCCAAGCACTGTCACTCCAGGCGTGTTTCCAGGCCCACACCTGCCCCTCCCCACAGCCCTGGCACTCTGGATACTCCTGGGGCAGCCACGTAGGGCCCTCTGGGAATCTGGGCAGAGATGTTACCCACACAGCCTGCCCTGAACTTGCGGGTCTCCTAAAGGAGCCCACAACGAGACTTCACGGCGACTGGAAAATGGCTGGACAGCGCCTGGGGAAGGGCGGGCCGCAGAAGTAACCCCGGGGCCCTAGAATCCCCACCTACGCCGTTGTGTAGAATCCCGCGTGGACTTTTTCTCCAACCCACCCGCCCGAAGGAAACGACAGGGGTGCCAGAGGCTGGGACCCCGCAAGGTCCCGCGCCCCACGTGAAGGTCAGGTGTGTAGGTGACGCGTCTTCTAGGAAGAAGGGGACCCCGCAACTGGCGCGCGGCTGCCGGCACTACCATCCGGAAGTGGCCCCGTGCGGCCCCGCCGCGCCCCCAGCCTCTTGCGAACGCCGGATCTCTGCGGCCCACGCTCCGCCTCCGCGCCGCACCTCCTGACCCCCGCCCACACGCGGCGTGGAGCGGGGGGTGGGGGCTCCCCGAGAACTCCGCCGCTTCCGATTGGCTGCGCCTCCCTCTGTCGCGGAGCTCTAGGGGCCGAGGCGCAGCGTTTCCATGGCAACCGATGAGGTGCGCCCGGTTCCCGTCCCCCCGAGGCCTTAGAGAGCTTAGCAACCACCCTCGCCGCCCCCACGCGCTGTCCTCTGGCCCCCACAGCCCCGCCAGAGGTACCGGCTGAGTCACCGGGCGACGGGCAGCCGGCGCGGCTTATCAGCGCCCCCCGAGCGACACTCCTAGCCGGCGGCCTCTTCCCGCCGGCTCAGCATCTGTGCGCCTCCAGCCCAGGTCTCTGGCGCCCCCCGGAGGCTCCAGTTGCTGCGCAGGCGACCTCACGGCCTCGGTGCCCAGCGGAGGCTTCAGTCTTAACCAAGTTCGCCTGATTCCCGCCGCTGCGCGAGTCCGCCCCTCTCTCTGCTTCCGCCCGGGGTTCTGGATCCATCTTACCCATGTCCTCTCCAGTGTCTCCCCATAGCATCCTCATTGGAGAAGCAGTGAGGTCCCAAAGAGGAAAACGGAGGCCTCCAGAGCTGATGGTCTCTAGGGGAGACGAACCCCGACATCTCGGCCGAGGGACGTGCTGCGGCCTGAGATGGAAGTTACAGAGTGTTGAGAGGAGGTGGAGAGGGTCCTCAGAAGTGCTCCTAGAGCTGGGCTTTGACGGATAAACAATTCTCCCACTGAGCAGGAAGGCATTTGTAAACAGAACCCCTGGGACAAAGGCTAGCGGCAAGAAAAGGGGAGCTCGAGGAGGCCAAATCCCAGAGCATGCAGGACCTCTGACCCCATCTCCTTTTATCTTTTCTCCTTTTGACGAAGTCAGATGCCCCCTTTCCGAAGAGCCCCTCCGCCCCATGTGTCTTGTGCAGTGGAGTCTGTGCATTGCTGACCTGCCCCAGGGGTCTGCTGGGCCCACAGTCTTTATTCTTTAGCGTTTCCCCCATCTGCTCCCCAAGTTAACTTACTGCCCTTACCCCCCGTCCTCAAGCCCTCATTGTATCGGCGAGGGAGGATCTCACAGCCCTGCCCCAGCCCAGGCAGTGTGAGGGACTCCTTGCCTTCCTGTGGACTTCACTCTTTGCCCTTCTCTCCCTGCCCCGCTCTTCCGGCCATGCCTTGAGCAGCCCCTCCCCATGCTGGTGCAGCTCCTTGTCTGAACACCCTTCCTCCCCCCCCAACCCCCCACCCCCACCCATTTAGAGCCTTCCTCGATCTCTATGGAGCCAGGCCGGGCCAGGACCATGCATTTGCCTCCTCCCAAGCAGCGGGACTGCCCTACAAGTCAGGGGCTCTCCCCGACAATTCTGGCCTCCAGAACATTAACTCCTCCAGGAAATGGTCCTCCTCATCCCCTCCTGGCCGAGCTGCCGTGTCCCTGGTCTCCTTCACGCTTTACCACCCTAACGTGAGCTCTCTGATCGTCCATCGTGCCACAAATGGTCCGAGGGTGGGCCCTGGCTGCCAGGCTCGGGGGCGTGGCACTGACAGCCTTTCAGCTCCCCCTGGCTGAGGCTACCCATTCCTCTCACCCCTACCTCTGGCGCGTCCCCCCAGCTCCCTCAGAGGGTCTCTTTCCTCATTTCTAGGGAGGCTCGCCCACCCTCCCCAACCTCTTCCCTCAGTCTCTAGCTCCTGGGGGGAACCTGAACCCCCGCTGGGCCTTCCCTCCCAGGGTCCAGGCGCCTCCGCTAAAGACCCCTGGGCCACCTTGGGATCCCCAACTCTTCTTCTCCGGGCCCCGACGCCACAGCCCTAGCTGCGCCCCAGGCCCCCAACGGGAGCCCAGCTTCCTCTCCTGCCCGCCCCGCAGGACGACAGGGTGACGACACTGCAGTGGCCGTGCGAGGTGTGAAGGCAGAGCCGTCAGGTCCGGGAACTGAGAAGGGGGCAGGGGCGGCCCGGCGAAGACCCCCAGGAGCCGCCGGGCTCCGGAAGGAGAGCGTGGAAAAGCACGCCGCGCCTACCCCCGCGCCGCCTGCGGACCCCAGCCCCCGGTTCCGGAAAGTGAACCCCTTGTTGGCTGGGCAGGGCCACGGCTCCCCCCACCCGGTCGCTGCCTCCGCGCTCCTCCTCCCGTCCGGGCTCCCGGTCCCCACCCCCCGCCTCGCCACTATAAATAGCCCCTCTTCCCATTTCCTAAATTCCCCGCTGACGTCGGCAGCGCGTCAGTGTGTAGGAGCCGGGGCCGCATGAATGAGCCGCCGCACGAGTACTACGCGCGCCTATAAAAGCCGCCGCGCCGGTCAGGCTGCGGGAGGCGACCGGGCAGTGGCGACAATGCCCCCAGGTAAGCGGGACTAGCCGGCCACGATGGGCAGAGGTGCGGACGGGCGGGAGGTGGAGGGCGGGATGGGCAAGCGGCGGGCGGCGGCCCTGAGTGGGCACCGGGCGGGCGGGGGGCACCGGGGTCCCCTCACGGTGGCAGAGCCGAGCCGGAGACCCACATCAGCCCGCGCGGCACCTGCCGGCGCCCGATGGAGACGCAGCTACTTGGAGGAGCATGGAGCGGAGGACCGACCTCAGAGACCCCCCCCCGGCTTTCCCGGGGCTCCCGTGCCATCCTCCCAGGAAAGTGGGGCGAAGGTGCTGGCGCCCCAGGAGACGCGCCCCCTCTTCTCCCTCCTTGCGGCGCGGTGACTCAGCCTCGCTACCCGGGCCAGCTGAGCGGGGGCGCAGGCGAGAGACAGACGCCCACCCCCGCCTCCCAGGGCCTCCTGGGACCCCCAGCCCCGCAGGCCTCGGGGCGCCCCTCCCCGGCCGGTCCCGTCCAGCGGGTCCCGCGGCGCCCACGACTTCCCGCCTCTGCGAGAGGAGCTGTCCTCTCAGGACAGGGGGGCGGGGCCTCGCCAGGGCGCGCCACGCCCCCGACGCCGGAAGTGTTCCCGCTGGGACACCTTTGACGTCACGACCCTCTGACGTCAGCAGCCGCGTGCCTGTCCGCGAGCGCAGGGCGGAGCAGGGCGGGAGACGCGGGGGAGGCGAAGCAGCAGCGCCCCCAGCCGGGGCGACCGGGGCACCCCGCCCGGACAGCGCGCCGGCACCTTGGCTCTAGACTGCTTACTGCCCGGGCCGCCCTCAGTAACAGTCTCCAGTCACGGCCACCGACGCCTGGCCCCGCCCCAGGACTGCGGCCCCGGCCGCCGCCGCCGCGCCCAGCGACCCCAGTCCCGGTCCCTCAGGGCCCCGCCCCCGGGCTGCCGCTGTCCGCGGTGCTGACCAACGGAGGCGCCGCCATCGGGCCGCCACGTGCCGGCCCCCAGGGGCTGCGAGGGGCGGCGGCCCACGCGCGCACCTCGGCCCCCGCCGCCCCGCCCGGCCCCCCGCGGCCCTGACGTCAGTCCGCCCCGCGCCGGCGCCGTCTGCGTGCCCCGCCCCACGCGTCTCCAGGGCAACCGTGGCTTTCGATTGTTACTGTGGGAACTGGAGGTAACAGTCTACAGCCATGGTCGCCCCGCAGCACGCCCACGCGCCGCGCCCCGAGCCGCGGGCTAGGACGCCGAGCAGGAGGAGGCGGGGGCGGCGAGTCAATATCCCACGTGCCCGCGCGGGAGGGAGGCGGGCCCGGGGGCTGGCGGCTGAGTCCCCCAAGGCTCGAGCGCACGGGGCCTGAGGAGTGCGTCCGGCGGCCAGCCTGAGGCCGTCCTGTCCTCCCGGCCAAGGTATCCCAGCCAGGGCTCGGCGGGAGAGGGGGTAGGGCTGGGACTCGGGTTCTTTTAGTCTCGGTGAGAGGGAAGCCACGGGGACCAGGAGGCTTGGAAGGTTTGCCTTCTGGGCCCTGAAGAGAGTAGAGGGAGGAAAGTGTTATGAAATACGTCACAGCCCGTCCTTCCAGGAACCTCTGGCTGAAGTGGGCATTGGGCGAAGATTAAACCCGCAGCCTCCCGTCCCTCCACTCCCACTTTTCCCTCTGAGCTAGGAGGCTAAGAGGGGTCCCCAACCCTCTGAAAGCCAGTGAGCTTGTAGAGTTAACGTGGTCAGTGTCTGAACAGCTCAGCATTCTCACCTCAGCCTATCTCTAGGTGCTGGATTTTAATTTGAGACAGTTTCTCAATTTAGTCCTAAAGGGGAGTGAATACCACAGGGGCTGAAGTCCTCTGGTGCAGGTGGAGTGTGAACAAGGACCTCTTTAAAAACAGTGTGTGTGTTTCCCGCCACTGCCAACATCACCCACCGCTGGGGATGTCTATTATGAGGTGTAGGACTTCTCCAGAGAATGCTGGAAATGGTTAACGCAACCCAGCCCACCACACTTAATCCACAATTTCTTAGCGTCTCAGGCCTCACCCCGCTCCTCTTTGAACTATTCTAAGACAGGCCCCTGTTAGCTAATCAGCACCCACGTGTTCTCTATCCTCCCACTGCCCCAGGGCTCCGAGGTCTTGCTGATCAAAGCGCTCTGGCTTTTGGGTTCCGGTGGACGTGGGGGTGGGCTGCAGTGTATGCTGCTGGAGGAAGCCAGACATCCCACTTGGCTTCGTCATCAACTGGTGGTTAAAGCCCACGTTGTTTCTGAGCTTTCTGTCAAATGGGATGATAATCTCTTCTCCTTGGCAGGTGCATTGTGAGGATTAAATAGGATCATGTAAGTAAAAATCCGAAAACAGCAGAATGTTATTTTCATCTTAAGTATTCTGTTAGGCTACGACGTGTTTGTGGGGGTAATGTGGGGGGACCCCAGCTCTGGGCACTTAGGCAGAATAAACGGGATGCAGGGGGTACACTTGGAGCTTTAGGCTACATATATTTATTGCCTTAAATATATTGTATGCTATACATACACTTTTTTTTTTTTTTTTTTTTTTTTTGAGACGGAGTCTTGCTCTGTCCCCCAGGCTGGAGTGCGGTGGCGCCGTCTCGGCTCACTGCAACCTCCTCAACCCGAGTTTAAACCATTCTCCTGCCTCAGCCTCCCGAGTAGCTGGGATTACAGGCGCCCACCACGCCCGGCTTTTTTTTTTTTTTTTTTCTCCGTATTTTTAGTAGAGACAGGGTTTCACCGTGTTAGCCAGGCTGGTCTCTATATGCGGACCTCATGATCTGCCCGCGTCAGCCTCCCAAAGTGCTGGGATTACAGGCGTGAGCTACCACGCCCGGCCCCAAACTTTTTTTTTTTTTTTCCCTTCTGAGACAGTCTTGCTCTATCACCCTGGAGTGCAGGGGCACAATCCCGGCTCACTGCAACCTCGGCCTCCTGAGTTCACTCCAGAGAGAACAGGCCTTGGGCTGTTGAGAGGTTCCTTGCTAAGGGGCTCGCTCTCTAAGAGCTTTAGGAGTTCAAGGTGGAACCAGAGGTAGAAAAGACAAATGGTGGCTGGGCGCGGTGGCTCACGCCTGTAATCCCAGCACTTTCGGAGGCCAAGGAGGGTGGATCACAAGGTCAAGAGATAGAGACCATCCTGGTCAACATGGTGAAATCCCGTCTCTACTAAATATACAAAAAATTAGCTTGGCATGGTGGCGCATGCCTGTAATCCCAGCTACTCAGGAGGCTGAGGCAGGAGAATTGCCTGAACCCAGGAGGCGGAAGTTGCGGTGAGCAACTCCATTGCACTCCAGCCTGAGTAAGGAGCGAAACTCCGTCTCACCAAAAAAAAAAAAAAAAAAAAAAAGACAAATGGTTGGGGTATTCTGAGAAGAGGTCAGAATGTGGTCAGAGGGGAAAGAACCAGGGGATTGACCAGACAACGCCAGCAGAGTTGTTTAGCATCTTAGAAATCATTTAGGGGCTGGGCACAGTGGCTAACGCCTGTAATCCCAGCACTTTGGGAGGCCGAGGCGGATGGATTACCTGAGGTCGGGAGTTGAGACCAGCCTGGCCAACATGGTGAAAGGCCATTTCTACTAAAAAATACAAAATTAGCCAGGCATAGTGGCGCATGCCTGTAATCCCAGCTACTTGGGAGGCTGAGGCAGGATAATTGCTTGAACTCTAGAGCTGGAGGTTGTGGTAAGCCAAGATTGAGCCTTTGCACTCCAGCCTAGGCGACAAGAGCAAAACTCCTCTCTCAACAAGAGCAAGGAAGGAAGGGGAAAAAAAATTAGGCCGGCCACAGTTAAGCACTTTGGGAGCCCGAGGCAGGTGAATCATGAGGTCAGAAGTTCAAGATCAGTCTGACCAACATGGTGAGACCCCGTCTGTACTAAAAATACAAAAATTAGCTGGGTGTGGTGGTACGTGCCTGTAATCCCAGCTACTGAGGAGGCTGAGGCAGGAGAATCATTTGAACCCAGGAGGCGGAGGTTGCAGTGAACCGAGATTGCGCCACTGCATTTCAGCCTGGATGACAGAGGGAGACTCTTGTCTTAAAGAAAAATACCTAGCTGTGCACACCTGTAGTCCCAACTACTTGGGAAGTTGAGATGGGAGGATTGCTTGAGGCTAGGAACTCGAGGCTGCATGGAGCCGTGATTGCACCACTACTCCAGCTTGGATGACAGAGTAAGACCGTCTCACAAAAAAAAAAAAAAAAAAATCACCATTTAGGGCTGGGAGATGTGACTCATGCCTATAATCCTAGCATTTTGGGGGTAGGGGGAGGTAGAGGCTGGAGGACTGCTTGAGCCCAGGAGTTCAAGACCAGCCTGGGCAACAAAGTGAGATCCCATCTCTTAAAAAAAAAAAAAAAGCCAGTGTGGTAGTTTGCACCTGTAGTCTCAGCTAAGCTACTGAGGAGGCTGAGGCGGGAGGGTTCTTTAGCCCAAGATGTCAAGGCTGCAGTGAGCCATGGAAACTGATCCTGCACCCGGGGTGACAGAGGTACACCCTGTCTTCAAATGATAAAATAACCCAGTCTGGCCAACATGGTGAAACTCCATCTCTACTAAAAACACAAAAAATTGCCAGGCATGGTGGCTCACTTCTGTAATCCCAGCACTTTGGGAGACCAAGGCAGGTGGATCATGAGGTCAGGAGTTTTGAGACCACCCTGGCCAAGATGGTGAAACCCCCATCTCTACTAAAAATACAAAAATTAGCCAGGCATGGTGTTATGCATCTGTAATCCCAGCTACTCGGGAGGCTGAGGCGGGAGAATCGCTTGAACCCGGGAGGCAGAGGTTGCAGTGAGCGGAGGTTGTGCCATTGCAGTCCAGCCTGGGCAACCAAGCGAGACTCTCTGAAAAAAATAACTAAATGAATGAAAATGTTATTCCTATCCTTTGGACCTCATTTTTCTTAGCTATAAATTGAAAATGTTTAACCAGTGATTCTTCTGGGAAGCTTACTCCCCTCCCTGGTGGGTTGCATGAGAGTCATGCTAGAGGCTTATTTTCAAATAACACCCTCACCGGAGACTTTTTTTCAACACCTAAGGCAGTGATTTTTCAAATACCTTTCTTGAGAATGATGGGGGCAATTTGCCAAAATGCAGATTCCTGCGTCCCAGCGATTCTGACTTAGTACATCTGGAGTTGGTTGCAGAATTCAAGGTTTTGGGTTTTTTTTTTTTTTAACTTTTTATTTTTTTAGTTGAGCCGGAGTTTTGCAGTTGTTACCCAGACTGGAGTGCAATGGTATGATCTTGGCTCACAGCAACCTCTGCCTTCTGGATTCAAGCAATTCTGCCTCAGCCTCCCAAGTAGCTGGGACTACAGGTGCGCACCACCATGCCCAGCTAATTTTTGTATTTTTAGTAGAGACGGGGTTTCACCTTGTTGACCAGGATGGTCTCAATCTCTTGACCTCGTGAGCCACTGTGCCTGGCCTAACTTCTTATTTGTAAAGACGGGGTTTTACCATGTTGGTCAGGCTGACCTTGAACTCCTGACCTCAGGTGATACGCCCGGCCAGTTTTGAGTTTTTTTGAGACGGAGTCTCGCTCTGTCACCCAGGCTGGACTGCAGTGTCCCAATTTCAGCACACCATAACCTCTGCCTCCTGGGTTCGAGGAATTCTCCTGCCTCAGCCTCCCCAGTAGCTAGGATTACAGGTGTGTGCCACCATGCCTCGCTAATGTTTGTATTTTTAATAGAGATGGGTTTTTGCCATGTTGGCCAGGCTTGTCCTGAATGCCTGACCTCTGGTGATCCACCCACAATCTGAACACCTTGGCCTCCCAAAGTGCTGGGATTACAGGTGCGAGCCACCACACCCAGCCCAGAATTCAGCTTTTAACAAATGATCTGGATGTAAACGGCCCACAGAATCTGTGCATTGGGGGTGGGGCAAGGGCACAACCCCCCGAGTCTCTCTTGCTCCTGGACGGTCTGACAGGAGGTGAAGCGTTCCACTTGCTGAGAACTGATAACCCCAGGTTTCCTTCTAGCTTGGACACTGGTTCTCAGGAGGAATCCTCACCCCTACCAGGAGCCCTTCTGCTCCACCAAATTCTGCTGGGCTCTACCCACCCCACTTCTCATTTTAAGCCTTAAAATTCACTCCCCACTATTTCTGCCCCCCTCTCTACTTTCATCCTCACAAGAAACCCATGCAGCTGGGGTAGACAAGTCATTTTCTTCTCTTGGGCCCACGATAAAGGGGCAGCCTATGATCGCCACAAGGGTAAGGGAGCCCTGAACTGCAGGTCAATCATTTCCAGAAAAGCCAGAACTCTGAATTTTTCTGTGCAATTTCTGAAACTTTAAATCAGGGTTTTTTTTTTTTTCTGAAATTCAATGGATCCGATACCACAGGACTGTGTGATCAATCCATCCCCAAATTTCCTCCTTTTCCTAAAGGAGATTCCTTAAACCACCAAGAACAAGGCAGAGGCCAACTGAAGCAAGGGAGAACCATCTCGCCCCTCCCAACACACACTTTCCACACCCAGTAAGTCGAGTCTGTGTCTGGGGGGATAATTCCTGTTTTTGTTTTTTTTAAATCTTGGTCAGCTTCTCTCTGTATCGAGGAACCTAGAACTTTGGGTAACTTAAGGGATATCAGTCTGGTTGTCAGTAAAAAGGTGCCAGAGGATTTGTGCTGTATCCCCTAACCACAGTTCCTGCTCCGTCGCTTAGCTCCTTGACAGCTATGTCTGATGGCTAGATAGGAGTTGGTGTGATCTTCCAGAAAAAGAACAGGCGTCTTGTCTTGCAGAGGCAGGAAAGAAGTCAGAAAGCAGTGTGTGCGCGCGTGCGCGCTGATGGGGGGAGGGGGTTCTCAGGTGGTACTGGCAGTAGGAGGGAAATCATTAAAGGTGGCAATTGGCCAGGTGAGGTGGCTGACACCTATAATTCCAGCACTTCGAGAGGCTGGGCAGGTGGATTGCTTGAGCTTCCAAGTTCAAGACCATCATGCACATGGTCAAACCCCGTCTCTACAAAAAATACATTAGCTGGGCTTGGTAATGCGCGCCTATAGCCCCAGCTACTCGGGAGACTGAGATGGGAGGATGGTTTAGGGCTGCCGATTGCGCTACTGCACTCCAGCCTGGGTGACAGAGCCAGACCTTGTCTTTAAGAGAGCTGGGTGTGGTGGCTCATGCCTGTAATCCCAGCACTTTGGGAGGCCGAGGAGGGCAGATCATTTGAGCTAGAGTTCAAGACCAGCCTGACCAATATGGTGAAATCCCTATCTACTAAAAATACAAAAATTAGCTGGACGTGATGGCATGTGCCTGTAATCCCAGCTATTCAGGAGACTGAGGTGGGAGAATCGCTTAAATGTGGGAGGCAGAGGCTGTGGTCAGCTGAGATCATGCCACTGCACTTCAGCATGGGCAACAGAGCTAAACTCCATCTCAAAAATTAAGTAACCGGCTCAGCTCCACCTGGTGCAACTGCGGCTGGAAGGCTATGGGAATATGTCGGCCCCGTTTGAGGAGGAGTGGGGTGGTTCTGTGTGGGACCCCATGGGGCCAGTGGTCCCAGACCCTGGAGGAGGTGTTCATTGAAGTTCAGGTGCCGCCAGGCACGTGCACCCAGGATATCCAGTGCGGCCTGCAAAGCTGGCATGTGGCACTCAAGGTAGAGGCAGTTCAGGGCTTGTGTTCAGTTTCCTCTTCTCAGCCGCCCCAGCCCCCAGGTCCTAAAGTTCATGGTTTCCCTGAACGACTGTTGGGTGTCCGGACTACTGTGGCTGGCAGAGAGGGAGGATAGATAACACTGACCAGGTTTGGGTCTAGTTGGAGCCTCCTCCTTCAGGGCAGGTGCTGAATTGTGGAAATTTGAGGAGTCCATATTCCAGCTTAGTTTTCAAACCAAGACTGCTGCTTCTGCTTCTCTAAGGAGTTTCAGCTGGGAACAGACTAAGTTGCTAAAGGAACAGGTATTTCTTCCGGTCACTGAAAACAGGAAGGAAGGTGGCAGGAAGACGAGACAGGTAAGGTCCCTGCAGTGGAGAGGTTAAGCTCTTGTAGGGGAGAGTAATAAATAGATTAAAAAAGAAAGTATCCAAGAAAAACTACACTCCCCAAAAGAAAACCAGCTGGGTTGCCTAGGCCTTGGCCGTAGTCACTAAAGAATGGCATCAATCTCAGAAACCCTGAAGATGGGGTCAATTTAAGATGAGGCTGTTGGCCGGGCACGGTGGCTCACACCTGCAATCCCACCACTTTGGGAGGCCAAGGCGGGCGGATCATGAGGTCAAGATATCGAGACCATCCTGGCCAACCTGGTGAAACCCCATCTCTACTAAAAATACAAAAATTAGCTGGGCATGGTGCTTTGCACCTGTAGTCCCAACGACTAGGGAGGCTGAGGCAGGAGAACTGCTTGAACCCAGGAGGCGGAGATTGCAGTGAGCCGAGATTGCACCACCATACTCCAGCCTGGGCGCCTGGCGACAGATCGAGTCTGTCTCTCGCCGGACATGATGGCTCACACCTGTAATATCAGCACTTTGGGAGGCCAAGGCGGGTGGATCACAAGGTCAAGAGATTGAGACCATCCTGGTCAACATGGTGAAACCCCGTCTCTGCTAAAAATACAAAAAATTAGCTGGGCATGGTGGCACGTGCCTGTAATCCCAGCTACTCAGGAGGCTGAGGCAAAATTGCTTGAACCCAGGAGGCGGAGGTTGCAGTGAGCCAAGATCGCGCCATTGCACTCCAGCGCCTGGGTAACAAAAGCGAAATTCCGTCTCAAAAAAAAAAAAAAGTCATCTCTCAAAAAAAAAAAGAGGCTGTTGATTCTGTACTGTCTTTGGCATCCACCCAAGGTGTGGCATCAACTCATCCTTCAAGTTCATAGTTTAAGATGAGCATACAGCCAGGGTTTGAGAGATGGTACCTCCCAGTGATCTGGATAGAGGAAGGCTAAAATTACCGTGGCCTTGCCAGGGGACATCTTCCCAAAACTTCTCAGATGTACATTCCTCCCTAACACTGCCACTGAGGCCTCCTTTCCTTCAGCTTGGGACTGAAAACTTCCAGCAATAAAATGTGTGCCTGTGCAGGAGCTTGTCCTGGCACTCACAACTGGAAACATCTCCCTGCTTGGTGCTGCCCACAAGACTGCGTAGGTGGCCAAGAAAGTGACTTCCATCAGACAGTGTTTTTCTGTGTGTACCAGAAAAAGATGCTCCAAATCCAAATCGCCACTTTATTATGTGGCAGTCACTGTGGTGCCAGCCTCTGCTCTTCCCACATCACCCTATTAATCCAGGGCTCTCCAGGCATTTTCCTGTTTGAGTCTCACTAATCAAGGTCAATGTCAGTTAAGGCCTATGCTCCCCTTTTCTTCAATACAGGGCGGGGCTTATATAACTAAGTCCCGAGTATTGATGAGTCCTCGCTCTGTTGCCCAGGCTGGAGTGCAGTGGTGCGATTTTGGCCCACTGCAATCTCTGCCTCCCAGGTCCAAGCGATTCTCCTGCCTCAGCTTAAGGAGAAGCTGGGATTACAGGTGCATGTGACACCCGGTTTTTTTTTTTTTTTTTTTTTTTTTGGAGACAGAGTTTCGCTCTTGTTGCTCAGGCTGGACTGCAATGGCGCGATCTCGGCTCACTGCAACCTCCGTATACTGGGTTCAAGCAATTCTTCTGTCTCAGCCTCCCGAGTAGCTGGGACTACAGGCGCACACCACCATGCCCAGCTAATTTTTGTATTTTTAGTAGAGATGGGGTTTCACCTTGTTGATCAAGATGAAAAGAGAGATGGTCTCGATCTTTTGACCTCGTGATCCACCCGCCTTGGCCTCCCAAAGGGCTGGGATTACAGGCGTGAGCCACCACCCCAGACTAATTTTTTAAAAAAAGTATTTTTGGTAGAGACTGGGTTCCATCAGGTTGGCCAGGCTAGTCTCGAACTCCTGACGTCGTGATCTGCCTGCCTCAGCCTCCCAGAGTTCTGGGATTACAGGCGTGAGCCACAGCACCTAGCCAATAGTTGTCTCTTAACTGGTCTTGGTTAAGCCCACCAACAGCAGTGGAGAGCCCTGGGAGGGGCACGGATGATGAGACTACCCTAAGGGGGATGGATGTAGGAGCAGGGACATTTCTTGATCTCACTCTGCAAACTGGTCCAAGAACTTGAGGTAGGCCTGACGCTGGGGTGCAGCCGCTGGAATGAAGTGGCCACCGGAGTGGGTGAGGGTGACGGCTCCAGGGAATCGGCTAGCCAGCTGCATACTCTCCAGAGAGGGGATGACTTTGTCAGTGTCCCCGAAAACATGCAGGGAAGGCAACGACAAGGGTCTTTGCAGGATGGATTCCTTGAACCCAAGGCCGCGGGGACAGAATCCGGATACCAAGATGACAAACCGCGGTAAGGGGAAGCGGGAATCGCCTGCCTGGCCCAGGGCGCACACGAGGGCTGCCAGTGCAGCCCCTTGGCTGAAACCAAGAAGCCCGTCAAAAGGCCCCAGCCTGTTCAGTGCCTGCGCCACCGTCCCCAGGGCTTCCTCCAGGCCCCTGCACACGGCGGGCTCTTCCAGTGCGGAGAAAACGTCTGCCTCCTGCTCTGAAAACCACCATCCTCGAGGCTGCTCCTCCGGAGGGCAGGACCCTACAGCGATACGGGGAAAGAGGGCGGGCTTAGGGCACGGGAGGCTCCAGGAAGGGAAGAAATAAGGAAGGGCGGGAGGATTCGAGATGGCAGAGAAAAAAGAAAGGGAGGTGAAAGTCTGTGGGGGTGTAGAGAGGGAATGAAGGGATTGGCCTGAATAGGAAGCGGCGGAGGAAGACGGAAGACTGGGAGCACAAGCAGTAGTTTGAGCAAGAGGGGATGGGCTGGGTGGGAGGAGTGAGGGCGGGGGATGCCGAGGGGACGAAACAAGATGGAGAAAGCCAAGTGTATTTCCGAAGCAGGACTCCTCTCACCGAAATCTGATCTGGCGCCCTCGGGGCCCGGGGCGTCCGGGACCGGGTGCGGGCCACTGAGGCATACGAGCTCGGCGCAGCCCCGAAGCGCCTTCCTCAGCGCTCCGGTCTTCTCGCGGAAGCCCCGCTCGCTTTGCCGGAAGCCCGCCAGGCACAGGACGCGCAGGGTTCGCTGCGCGGCCATTACGCTCGGCAGAACGCAATGAAAGCACACCGGAAGCGGCCTTTCCCCGAGCGGAAGGAGCATGCAAGGGGCGGAACCAAACGCCGGCACCACCCCGAAGGCGGGCCTCGCAGCGCCAAGACGTTCCCATGACAACGGCGAGGGGCGGGCAGCAGCCAGAGCAAGAGCGGATACCTGGGGCCCTGAAGCGTGTCAAGGAGCGAGTGGCGCCGCCTTCTCATCTCTGCAGCTGCAGTCCTCGCAAGCCACAGCTGAAGGGGGCTGCGTGGACCCCTCCTGCACCTGAGGTCGCAGACTTTGGTCAGGGTCTCGCTTCTGCCACCCTGCATTTCCTGTCGCGGTCGCAGGACGGCGGCCTTGGCTTGTGTCGCCACAGAGGCGGCCGGGGCCCAGGCGCGGTCTCTCCTCCCTCCTGGAAACCCCGCCTACCTTCCCCCGCGCGGGCCGGCCTAGGGCCCGCGAACGCCGGTCTTGGCCGTGGTTCACCGTCCAGGGCCCCAAGGAGCTGCCGGCGTAGAAGTCCATGGGATAGGGCTGCTGCCAGGAAATGGCCCTCAGGGCCACGGCTGCCTGCGGGGAAGACCAGACAGAACATTTGCCCGTTTTCCTGCTCCTGGATTACTAAACTCAGCCCTCACAACAGCTTGTGAAGGGCACACGGTCCCCAACCACGGAAGGGAAGTGTGTGGTTCAGAGAGGTCAGGGCCTTGTCTAAAGCCACACAGCTAGGAATTGGAGAATTCGAGACAGACTCCAGAACCTATTAACATAACCAAATCCTGCCCACCCACCCCACTCCAGACCTGGCCTTTGAGAACCACATGCAAAGCCCACTCTCTCCCAGGAGTTCGGAAGTTGATGTTACCTCATAGGGTGTCAGCAGCGGCTTGGGGAAGGCTGTGCCCCAGTCAATGGAGAGCCGTGGACATGCCACCTGCACCCACCTGGGAAGGGAAGCCAGGTTAGACCCTAGGAGGTGCCTCCCCTCCCCCGGGCAGCATGCTGAAAAACATGACAGTACCTCTACAAATCCATTAAATTACCAGGCGTTATGAACCCTAAAGTAAAAAGTCACCTGCTGCTGTTTGGTATACTGCATTTTTGCATGTTTTCTCCTGCTTCCTCTGCTGACAATGAGCTTTCCAGGGCAGCTCACTGGTGGGAGTATCCCCAGAACCAAATTTAGTATCTGCTACCGGGGAGGGGTCAGGCACCCCTACAACTCATCTCACAATGACAAATGTGATGCTACCATTGCCTCTCAGTCCTGAAGCAGGTGCGACCCAGTTAGCCCTGCCCGGGAAGTCTCTGTCAACACTAAAATTCCATGACCATGGAAGCAATTCCTATTGGCTCCAGCCTTCGAGACGGGCTAGGCAGGACCCAACTTCTAAGCTGCTTTATCCAGAGTCATAGCCAGGCAGGTAAGATGGAGAAACTCACACGTCCACCTTGGGAAGTAGGCGAAGCTTGCTGGGGAAGATCTCAGAGAGCAGCAGTCTCACGAAGGAAAGGCCCAGGGCCCGGAGCTGGGACTCTAGGTGCTGTTGGGAGAGGGAGGCAGGATGGGGGTCGCCATGATCAAGCAGCCAAAGCTGAACCTGTGGTTTTCCCAGCTCCTCCCCTCCTCCAGGGGCCCTCCGGAGCCCACTGACCTCCAGGATCTTAGGACTGCCCTGGCGGCCCAAAGTACCCAGAATGAGGCCCCAGGACTTAGCTGAGTGGGCAGCAGCTATGGCTTCCTGGCGAGCAGCCTGCATGCGCTGGTGGTCATAGTGCTCTCTGGAAAGGACTTTACTATATGGGTCATACCTGGAAAAGCAGCAGCCAGGGTCACTGAGACAGCCACCGTGGGTACTCTTGTGCACACAGCCCCTGACTCAGTGGTGTGGGCTCCTGTGCCTTTAGGCCCCACGCAGGTCATTAGGAACAGAGGCAAGAGTGGGGACTCGTTACGAAGACCTGTCCCACAGCTGGAGCAGATAGGAGCTGGCAGTTTCAGGATCTCAGTGTAAATCCCCAGGCAGCCCTGGGGCAAATGCCCACATCTAGCGCCCACGTGCCTCAGACCCTTAGGGCTGGTGGCTTAGCCAGGAAATAAGGATGCAACCAACTGAGGGCCTGAGTGGCCACGAATCTGACCCCTCACCAGCTGTCAGCCCAGCCCAGTCCAGCACATACCGGTAAGTGGGGACGTTGGGGTTGGCAATCATGACAGACTCTAGATGGAAGCGACCATCTCCAAGATACCTGCAGGGGTGGAAAGGAGGCTGTAAGTGTGATCTAGGCAGCAGAAGAGGCACTCGCTGGCTTAGACATTCAGAGGGCAGAGTTCACGGCTGGCTGTGTTGTGACTGTGTATAAACTGGGACAGCCAGCATTTCACCTCGCAGAGCCTTGGTTTTCTCATGTGTAAAAGAAACGAGTTTGAATTGGATGACTGTATGGTCTCTCTCATCACATAACACAGAATCTAAGAACTGTCCCACCCAAGCTTCTGGGGAAGAGTGAAGGGGCAGCCTGAGCCAGGCCGGGCTGCCTGCGGCTCCAGAGCTCCTCATCCGGAAGCTGGGGAACAGATTCTCCCTTACAGGCTCAACACAGACATGGACAGCAGTGTTCAGGGAGTCACATATGACAGCAGTAACCAACCTTCTTGGCACCAGGGACAGGTTTCATGGAAGACAATTTTTCACAGACATGGGTGGGAGTAGGGGGATGGTTTCAGGATGAAACTGTCCCACCTCAGATCATCAGATGTTAGATTCTCAGGAGCACGCCACCTAGATCCTTCGTATGCACAAGTCACAACAGGGCTTGTCCTCCTGGGAGCATCTAATGCCGCTGCTGACGGGACAGGAGGCAGAGCTCAGGCAGCCATGGCCCCTCACATTCTACTGTATAGCTCAGTTCCTAACAGGCCACAGTGCCAGGGGTTGGGGACCTCTGAGCTATGCTGTACATGAGGCTGCAGGGCATACACAATCACTACTTTCTGCCCAAACTAGCTCTTGGGTCCAGTTACTGAGTTATAACAACAGCTACTGGATTTTCATGTTTTATTTTTTTGAGGCAGAGTCTTACTCTGTCAGTCAGACTAAGTGCAATGGCACAATCATGGCTCACTGCAGCCTCGGCCTCCCAGGCTCAAGCGACCCTCTCACCTAAGCCTCCTGAGTAGTCGGGACTACAGACATGGATACCGTACCCAACTAATTTTTTTTTTGGGGGGGGGCGGGGAGGTCTCGCTATGTTTCCCAGCTGGTCTCAAACTCCTAGACATAAGCAATTCTCCTGCCTTATAAAGCGCTGGGATTACAGGCATGAGCCACCACGCCCAGCCACCAGCTACTGATTCTCCTGCCTTGGCCTCCCATAAAGCGCTGGGGTTACAGGCATGAGCCACCATGCCCAGCCACCAGATACCGTTTATTGGGTTTTTGCCTTCTATGTACTAGGCACAGACTAAGTACCTGATGTGAATTAGTTCTCATCACTCAGTCCTGTCTACTAATCCTCCAAGATACCTACAGTATACCAGTTTTACAGAAGATACAACTGAGGCTCAGGAATGTTAAGAAACTTGCCTCAAGGCCGGGCGCAGTGGCTCACGCCTGTAATCCCAGCACTTTGGGAGGCCGAGGTGGGTGGATCACCAGGTCAAGAGATCGAGACCATCCTGGTCAACATGGTGAAACCCCGTCTTAACTAAAAATACAAAAATTAGCGGGGCTTGGTGGCACGTGCCTGTAATCCCAGCTACTCAGGAGGCTGAGGCAGGAGAATTGCCTGAACCCAGGAGGCAGAGGTTGTGGTGAGCTGAGATCATGCCATTGCACTCCAGTCTGGGTAACAACAGCGAAACTCTATCTCAAAATAAATTAATTAATTTAATTAAATTAAATTAAATTTATAAAAAAGAAACTTGCCTCCAATTATACAGCTATGAAGCAGCGTACCTGAGGCTTAACCCCAGGCCCTCAGCCATGCTAACCCTAACAGTGGCTTCCCAGGCCATGAAGACTCCAGGGTGTTGAAGCTCACCTGCCTGTGACAGCTACTCTCCCTCTTGGAGACCACACTTCATTTTGATGAATGGCCAACACTCCGGGTGTCCCTCCCACCAACATACACCTGGAAGCCCCCAAGGGTGGATTCAGAGTAATGATGCAGGCACAGGGAGTGCTCCTGGGGAAGCAGGACTCCCAGGCCTGGGCAACGGCCCTGATGAGGACCTGTCTAGGGGGCGAGCCCCAGATGTGGGTTAAGTCAGGAGTGCCCTCCCTCCCTGCCATTAGTAAGGAACGGGGCTCCCTTCCCTAGTCCCAGCCAGGGGAGCTGTCAGCTCTCAGGCTGGCTGCATTCACACAACATTAAACATTTCCATTACCTAAAATAATTAGGCGGCAGGAGACACGCTGCTTCTGCTTGTTAGCTGTCCGGATGGTAAATTAATGGGACTGCAGCCTGGGCGTGCCCATCCATCTTCTCCAATTATATTCCTACCCCTGTCAGCCCACCCTCATCCCCCCCATCAGGCCCTCTGGATGGCAAACTGGGCAGTGGAGAAAGAGACAGCCCAAGTCAAGTCCCTTTTTGGTGCCCACCTTGCACTGTGACCTTGGGCTGCAGGTAAGGAGCATTAGATTCAATTTATTTCCTGTATGTTGACCCTCGGGCTCCCTCCCAGGGCACATTCTTATGTCTCTAGGACTTGGCCCCCATTTTTAACTTACACAACGGCCTCTACCTCTTCGGGCAGTCGGGGGGATGTGCAGCCCAGAATCTCTCCAGGGGACAGGGGCTTGCACTGTGGGACACTCACACGATACTCAGCTTTCAGCTCCTGGGCAGCTGCCTATAGGAAGAAGGGGGAAAGGGAAGCCAGAGGCTGAGACAGGAGAGCTGGGCTGAACAACCTGGAGCACCTGGCATGGGGACCCAGCAACAGCTGGAGAGTGGCCGCTGTCTGCCCTGCAGGAAGCTGAGGATCCACATTCCACCTACCTGCAAGGTGGACACAAACTGAATGGTGCTGACCAGGGCGAGGGCAGTGGCCGGGGGAAAGGTGAGGCGGAGAGAGTCCAGCAGGTGGGCAGCATCTATCCGGATGTCGACGAAGACGTACAGCACCTGCAAGTCTTGGGCCAAGGTGTCCATGGGAACTGGGGGAGGGAAGAGTTCAGGGGCCGTTTGGAAAGGCAGGAGCCACAGAGGGCCTGGCCCGGGCTGAGGTCTGAGCAGCCAGGCCCAGTGGCTTCAGCCTGGAGGTAGAAGGACAGGGTAGGAGAAGAGGGGTCACAGGTCCCCTAGAAGCTCTTTCTCAGTCAGGCTTCTCTGTCACCCGGCCAGGGGCCGGTCTGCACTACAACCAACAGCCTTTCAAACACCTGCATCTGGGACAGAACACAGTTTCCAAGGCAACCAAATCCAAAGGCAAGATCCACCTGCAGAGCGGGAAGGCAGAGGCCATCCCAGAAACCAGGAGGGACCTCGTGCCGCAAGCAGGACAAGAAGGCACTTCAAGGGGGAAGATGAGTGTCCGGCCTGCCTCTCGCCAGCCCCGCCATACCCAGGCAGCTGTGGCCGTAGTGCACCAGGAAGTCAGCTCCCAGGGCCCTGGCAGTGAAGTCATCCACACAGCAAGCCCCGTAGGTCACATCACCCATCACCATCACTTCAGCCTCAGTGAACCTGCGGGGAGGGGTGGTAACAGTGGTACAGTGACACAGGAGTGGGGTCGGGAGACCCAGTCCTGGGAGGGGTCTCAGGGCTCAGCTCCTCTCTCCCTACCTCTCCCAGTTCCTTGAGTGGGCAGCTGCCACTCCTGCCAACAAAGATCAGGAGGGGCACAGCTGCCACCTCCCCCAGCCTGGCAGCAGTTCCTGGAACAGTTGCAGCATGAGGACCCTCATTCCTCTGCCCAGGCTCAGGCTGCAGGAGGGACCCCAACCCTCAGCCCAGCACACATGGGGTCAAAACACAGATGCCCCATGCCCTGACTCACCCACCCAAAGCAGTGAGGACTCATGCACACATGCACACACACACACACACGCTGGAAGTGGCTGTATGGATACACACAGCCTCCCTCTCACCTGGACCCCCCCTACCTCCCCACCCACAGGCAGGGCCCTCAGTCCCCAGGATGGGGGGCCCAGGCACAGCTCCCCTGCAGCACATGGCACCACCTACACACCTCCTGCGTCAGGAAGAGGCTCTGGCCGGAACACTGCCATGGATCTGCTGCCAGGCCTGAATCATTGGCGGGGGGGGCGGGGAAGAGACCCTCTACCCCTAAACTCACCCGGGGAATGGAGAAGCCCCTCTTCCTTGAAAGAGACTCACACCTGGGCCATGAGGCCTGGCTCAGTGCCAGGTCTCCCCATCCTTCCCCTGGGGGTGTGGTGGTACATGAGTTGAAGTGCTAGTCACCCCCTCTTCCACCCCCTTCCCCAAATCAGGCTGTGCCCAGAAGCAGATTATTCAGCTCCTTAGAATGCAGCCCAGGCATCTGAGTCAGCCAGAGCACTTTTTTTTGTAGATTAAAATGTATGCAAATGGGCCTGAGCCCCAGAGAGCACCACCAAGGGGCCAGAGGGTGGGAGCAGAGAAGTGAGTCTGTGGCAACCAGCTGGGGAGCAGGGGAGGGGGAGGTTCCCAGCACAAGATGACCTCCCCTTTCTTCGTTCTCCACCCGTTCTTGTGCTGGTTCCAGATGGCTGAGCTCTCACCCTCCCCACCAAGGATGGCTCATTGTATTGCAGAAACTTAGAATGACAGCGATAGGATGCAGAGGAACTGAAAACCTTCTCCTGGGCACCTCCACCTTCCAAACCCGGCCTTGCCCTACTTCCCCAATTGTGTCTGAGGAAAAGGTGTCCCCTCCCCAGACCTCTCATTGATCACTCAGCGCCTTTCAGGGGCAGCTGGGAGAATTCTTAGGTGCCTCCCTGAGTCCTACCACCTGCTCTGGGCCTAGCTTTGAGGATACTGGGATTGGTTTATTTCTCTGTCCCAAATATTTAGGGAAGGAGAGATTTGCAGGGACAAGCAGGGCTCTCAGCAAGCTGGGAGATTTGTTTTGGGTTTTCCCTTAGTATGTGTATGGTTGTGTGGGAGAGCGGGGGAAGGCGGAGGTCCAGAAGGAAAAAATGCCGGCCACCAGGGTAATGAGCATGGGGGTGGGGGAGCCTGGCTCAGCCTCTCTCCAGTGCCCCAAGCCTCACCTTTCCAAGATATCCACAATGGTGCAGGCAAAGAGGAGGAGGCCTTCTGGCATTTGCAAAGCCACTGCAAGACAGAGCAGAGAGGTGAGAGGTGGAGGGCCAGGAAGGGGCTGCAGTGGGGACGCTGTCCCACTGGGCCCAGCAACCTCTCCACCCCCACCCCAGCTCAGTGATGACAGGCTCACCCTTCTTGGCCTGAGCTTGTTGGATCCTCCAGATGGTCTTGGGAATCTCAAAGTTGTAGTTGGAAGGCAGGACCTGGACTGCTGCCTGCAGCTGGGGGTTGTTGAGGATCTCAGGGGGGATCTGATTGGCTACGCGGCCCCGAGGGACCGGACCTGGGATGGGTATAAGGGCTGAGTTGGTGTTTGTTTTTGACCATAGCCAGACTGAGATGGAATGGGATCCCTTTTTAGGGCCTGCCCGGCTCCCCCAACTCAAGCAGAGAAATAAAGATTTTGAGTTATCTCAAGAAAAATCCTGGGAATCTTAGCTAGCCCTCCAATCAGCAATTAGCAAAGTAAGTAACTTGCTAAACAAGAAGATAATAAACAACAGTCACTCAAGGGAGAGGGACAGGACGCCTGGCTCCCTGTAGAAACTGAAGGTAACACCTTGACATACACCCCTAAGTTGTTTTTCAGAAACCAGGACCCCCACCAGATGAAAAAATGCCAACTAATTGCTGTCATGTAAGACCTCAGACAGTGTGAAGCCAGAAAATAAAGTTCCAGAAATTCCCCAGCCCTTATCTCACTTTGAAGATCCCCCTGCAGACCAGCCTTTAAACCCCTTGCTTGTAAGCCATCAGGGAGTTTAGGTCTTAAGCCTTAGCTGCCCAGGCTCCTTGCTTGGCGCCTTACAATAAATGCCTGTTCTCTCCCTGCTAAACTCAATGTCAGTTTGGCTTTGCTTTGCCAGGATGAATTCGGCAACAAGACCCAGCTGAGCTGTTAACTCCACCAGGTTTAAGGCCCAGATCTGGACACCAAGGGGGCTGGCCCAGCTTTCGTTCTCACTGAATTCATCCTGAAGGTAGAGACAATTCATGAAGCCGGAAGGTAACAGGTATATTTTCCACATTGTGAAATTACTGGGAATCAAAGGCTTGAGCCCATGAACAGAATACGGCTCACCCGCTTCCTCAGGAGAGCAGACCGACAACAGGGAACCACGGAGCGAAGAAGAACGAGCTGAGTCCCCCAACTGTTCCTTGATAGAGAACAGCCCTGCAGGAAACCCGAGTCCGGCTAGCCAGCCCGGCCGGTCTGGGAGCATGTCCCCCTCTCCCAACCCCTGAGGACACCTTGAAGTTCTGATGTTCTAGATCTGAGGTCTGTAAGCAAACTGTCAAACACGAATATGAACTTAAAAGACTCCCATCCTCACTCAGAATCCCACTGACTATGCCCACACTGACTCTTTCACTCTTACCTCTCCTCGTTTAAAAGGGAAATAAACATCATACATTTAACTGACTTAATTGTCCCATTGCTCCTCCTTACTCTTAAACCAGGAAGGATGGAAAGAACACTCGAGGCAGGGTGGTGGGCGTACCAGTAAGGACAGAAAAGTGACCTTGTCTTTTAGGGACTAGCAGTCTAAAGGGCAAAGACAGGCAGACACATAATTACAACTCCTGGAGTAAGGGGCAAACCACAGTCCTTTAGCAAGGCTGCAGACCTTACTCTGGCCTCGTCCTACTCCCTGTATTATAGTGAACCCCAAGTTTCTCTCCAAAGAATCAGTATGTCAGTATGTTCAGCCTCTTATTCTTTAATTCTCTATTTTCAAGTTTAACTTCCTTATAATGCCAGTAACAACCTTCTCCACAGGTTCCTATCATTAGATCACATCTGTTCCCCTGATCCAGGCTCCATCCTGACTCATCCCAGTCACCTGCTCCAGTCACCTTCTTTGACCTAGGTCACCCCTGGCTATCTGCTCTGACCCACCTGTAACCATCCTTCCTGCCACAACACCCGCCCTGCCACTCCAGCTTGGATCCCTGCTCTCTTTAAAATAGTCAATCAGGATTAGTCTAGCTTGTGTGGTCTAACCCTAGCCAACAGGAGAACTACACAGCAGTAGGGATGACCCTGTCAAGCATAAGTACTCCTTCCTCCTTGTCCAAGTGTGTGGTCACCATTGCTCCATGCAGGAGCCGCACCTTCTACAGAAGTAAATTGCAGGGACTCCATATTTGGGTCCCATTCCACGAATACTTCCTTAGTGGAATCCGTCTTTCTCTTTCCTGGATTTCCCCTCTGGGGTCCCCTTCCACACACTCTCGTGGAAGCCTGTCTTCCCCTCCTAAACTCCATCTCACTATTCCCTTCCACTCAGTGTGGAAGCTGCTTTCCTTTCCTAGATCCTATCTTTCTGGATTCTCTCACTCAGCCTGAGAGTTAGCTGTTTCTCTCTCTCTCTCCTTCTCCTGATTCTCTCTCTCTCTAAATAAATCACTTTCTACAAACAGACAAAGAAGTAAATTGCCTTGCTGAGAGGATTTATCTCCAAGTGCTATTTCTTTTGTGGCATCGAAATATTTTCTGGGGGCTTGTCCAGGATTCACCAGTCTCCTCCGGTGGTTTCCGGCCCTCTCGTGAGGAGACGCGTCCTGCTGCTTCACTGCTAATTTTCTATATTTTTAGTAGAGACGGGGTTTCACCAAGTTGACCAGGATGGTCTCGATCTCTTGACCTGGTGATCCACCCGCCTCGGCCTCCCAAAGTGCTGGGATTACAGGCGTGAGCCACTGCACCCGGCCAGTATTCAGATTAATTACAAACAGATGCCTCCAATCAGTCGTCTCAAGTATTTATTTATTCAGATAATAGAACTCGTTTTACTGCACGTCACTGGGAAATTAGCCCAGATACTGGATATAACATGGAAATATCGTACCCCCTGGCACCCACCTTTATTCGAGAAAGTAGGAAGGCCTATGACCCTGTTAAGGGTCTGAACTGCTCCCCGAAAAGACATTCTACTACTGGCCGGGCCCGGTGACTCAAGCCTGTAATCCCAGCACTTTGGTCCTAGTCAACATGGTGAAACCCGGTCTCTACTAAAAAAAATACAAAAAATTAGCTGGGCATGGTGGCGCGTGCCTGTAATCCCAGCTACTCAGGAGGCTGAGGCGGAATTGCCTGAACCCAGGAGGCAGAGGTTGTGGTGAGCTGAGATCGCGCCATTGCACTCCAGCCTGGGTAACAAGAGCGAAACTCTGCCTCAAAAAAAAAAGACATTCTACTACTAATCTCCCTACATTTGAAACAACAAAAAAAAGTGTATATACTTGGTGTATCTTCCACTTTCCCTTCCCTCAGAACTAAAGGTCTGGTAGCAAAGATGCCACCCTGAGGTTTCTAGTACCAGCACCAGCCTGGAGACCACCCTACCTCATGCTGCTAGCCACCAAGACTGCCATTCGGACAGCAGAAAGGAGATGACTACATCACGCCGGAGTCAAGAAAGCGCCATCACCACTAGAATCCTGGGCTATGGTTCTGGGGTCAGACCCCACCCAGTTAAAGCTAAGAAAAGCTCAGTCTATCTGTCTTTTCTTTTTTCCCCTTTTCTTCCCTTTAACTAACCCCCATCTTGTTATTAATGTGATTAGATCTGGCTCAGATCAAGTTGTTGCTTTGATGTGTGTTTAGTTATGCCTTGTGGAGATTTGCATAACCAAGGACAGCTTGCTGCTTCAGAAGAAGGTCTCTGTCCCCCTTAGACTTCTCAGATCAGGGAATATGAGTTCCTCTAAGGATACTAGTAATCCAAGGAATAATAGTAGCTGCATTTGTAATTGGTAGGAATCAGATTCTTGTCCCTCTAAAACGGAATCTCTATGTTCTGCTTAGTCTAATGTCACATGGAACACTAAAGATTTAGGATAGCCTGCTTCCACAGGTCTTCATCCGTCCTCAAAACTATATATCCACTCCATCAAAGGAATCACTCCTTCTACCTGTCAGTATAAACAGTGCAATCCTATACAGCTTACTGTTGTTATTGCAACATCTGAAAACTCTTCCCCTTCATTAAGCCGTATTTATGGTATAGGAGCCGACATTTCAGGAAAGGATCCTAAAGAAATTTTTGAAATGCACCTTATTGCTCCTTCAACCTCTTTATAAATCACTCCTCCTAGACGCAATGACAAAACCAAACTCTCAATGGTAGATGTAGAGGACCAAAGGCAAACCACAGCCTTGAAACAGGATATAAGGATGCAAATGACGGAGGAGAATGGATTAAATATTCCATTTGGGCCTTAAATAAATGCGACTGATACGCTTGTGCGCACGATAGACCAGAGGCCCAGGTAGTCCCCTTTACACTTAGATGATCTAATCAATCGGACATGGACTGCATGATAGCTTTAAGATTCCACAGCTTCGGGCTGGTCGCAGTGGCTCAAGCCTGTAATCCCAGCACTTTGGGAGGCCGAGGCGGATGGATCACGAGGTCAACAGATCGAGACCATCCTGGTCAACATGGTGAAACCCCATCTCTACTAAAAATACAAAAAATTAGCTGGGCATGGTGGCACGTGCCTGTAATCTCAGCTACTCAGGAGGCTGAGGCAGGAGAATTGCCTGAACCGAGGAGGCGGAGGTTGCGGTGAGCCAAGATCGCGCCATTGCACTCCAGCCTAGGTAAAAAGAGCAAAACTCCGTCTCAGAAAAAAAAAAAGATTCCACAGCTTGGAATCATAAATTGTACCAAGTTCTTTCGCTGCTATTTCCTGAGGTTCAACACCCTGCGGGGCAGCCCCCGAGGGCCATGTCAACTCCACCTTCCAAGGCAAACTTTGCCATGACTAGGGGAAAACTTAGTGTTCCTTGGAAACTGAACAGGATGGAGTGAAGACAGGCGCTTCTGAGGGCTGGCTCATCAGTCCGCCCTTACTCATCCGGAGTGGATGCACAGTGGGACTGTGGGGAACCTTTACTGGACACTCTGCCAAATAACTGGAGCGGCATGTGCGCTGTAGTCCAGTTGCTATCCCTTTCACCCTGGCATTTCATCAGCCAGAAAAAGAGAAATTACGACATCGGCAAGTAAGAGAAGCTCCTTATAGGTCTTTTGATTCAGAGAATGTCTATTTAGATGCAACTGGAGTTCTTTGAGGAGTACCAGATACATTTAAAGCTGGAGCTATCAGACAGATGTAAGATTTAAGTCAATGTTGTTCTGGTAGGTAACAATTAATAAAAAAACTGTAGATTAAATTACATGTATTACAACCAACAGCAGTTTGTTAACTATACTAAAGATGCTTTCAAAGGAATAGCTGAACAATTAGGATCCACTAGCCAAATGACCTAAGAAAACAGAACAGCCCTAGATATGATACTAGATAATTATACTTCTCCTTAGATGTTGTGTCATACCATGCATCCGAGGACTCCTGCAGAGGCTAGGAGACGCAACTCTTACTAAAATATCCCTCCTCCCCCTTATTCAGACAGATTACTTCTTTTAGAAGGACAAACAGAACTAAGCCAAGACATGTTAAGGAAGTTTGAAGAGAAAAAAATAAAGAAAACTGTAAAAATTCAAGATGGGGAATTGTTATAGTAAACCCAAGTTTCTCTTCAAAGAATCAGTATGCCAGTATGTTCAGCTCTCTCATACTTTAATTATAACCTTCTCCACACGTTCTCACCAGTAGTCCATATCTGTTCCCCTGGTCCCGGCTCCATCCTCACTCATCCCTGTCACCTGCTCTGGTCACCTTTGACCTAGGTCACCGTGGCCACCTGCTCTAACCTGCCTGTAACCATCCTTCCTGCCAAAACACCCACCCTGCCACTCCAGCTCGGACCCCTGATCTCTTTAAAATAGCCAGTTGGGATTAGTCTAGCTTGTGCAGTCTAACCCTAGCCAATAGGGGAACTACACAGCAGTAGGGATGACCCCATCAGGCACAAGTACCCCTTCGCCCTTGTCCAAGCCATTGCTCCATCTGTGAGCCACACCCTTCTAGAGAAGTAAATTACCTTGCTGAGAGGATTTATCTTTGAGTGCTATTTCTTTCGTGACATCAAGATTTTACTTGCAATACTGTAAGGTCTGTTAGGCTGACTGACAGTGCCACACCCATGGCTGGCAGGTACACCTCTAGGAAACCTGAAGTAGCTAGATCATGAAAAACGGAAGAACAATCAACCCCTGCAGCACCTAACCTGAGACAGTCTTCTATTGTTTCTTATTCTGGCCTCAATTGACAAGACCACTGGACTTTGAAACCTACCTTGATCAACCTCCTGACTCCACTTGCAAAAGAAGTCTTAAATTGTAACTTCTGTAACTTTCCACTGCCTACCCCAAACCTATAAAACCAACTCCTATCCCTCCCTGCTCTGCTGACTTTTTGGACTCAACCCAACCACACCCGGGTGAATAAACAGCCATTTTGCTCACAGAAAGCCTGTTTTGGGGGGGGGTGAGGGAGGGTCTCTTCATTCAGAGCGTGTGTTTTAACACTTCCCACAATTCAGCTTTTTTTTTTTTTTTTTTTTTCTGAGTTGGAGTCTCACTCTGCCGCCCAGGCTGGAGTGCAGTGGCGTGATCTTGGCTCACTGTGCAACTTCCACCTCCCAAGTTCATGCAATTCTCCTGCCTCAGCCTCCTGAGTAGCTGGGATTACAGGCATGCAACACCACCCCCAGCTAATTTTTGTATTTTTAGTAGAGATGGGGTTTTACCATGTAGGCCAGGCTGGTATTGAACTTCTGACCTCGTGATCCTCCCACCTTGGCCTCCCAAAGTGTCAGGTGTGAGCCACTGCACCCGGCCTTCAGCTTATTATTTTTTAAGGCAGGGTCTCATTCCATCACCCAGGGTGGAATGCAGGGGCGCAATCATGGTCAACCTTGACCTCCTGTGCTCAAACGATAATCCTCCCACGCCAGCCTCTCCAGTAGCTACGACCACAGGCACAGGCCAACACGCACAGCTAATTTTAATTTATTTTTTTGTGTAGATAGGGTCCCCTTATCTTGCCCAGACTGGTGTGAATTCCTGGGCTCACACAAGCCTCCTTGGCCTCCCAAAGTGTGTGAGCCACTTTGCCCTAATCCCACAATTAAGCTTTCAGTTCAACCCCGTTATCTCTTTAGGAGCCAAGCAGTCTGAGGACACGAAAAGGCAAGACATTAACTTACTCAACGAATACATATTGAGACTGTACTGTGTGCCATAACTTCTGCTAGGACCCCACACAATGATAGGCGGGATCTACCCAGACATGAGGCTTCACTCTCTGTGTGGGCGGAGGTGGGGAAGGTCCAGTGGAGAACCAGCGTGGCAGGCTGGGGCCCTGAGACCAGATTTTCATGTTACCACTGCTATGGTTTTTGGTCTGTTGTTTCAAAAGCCTTGAACAACCAGCCTAGGGTTCCTAGGTCCATCACAGATCCTCCTCTGACAGGTCCCTACTGGTCGTTGGGGTGTGGGAGATGCTAACATTAGCCCTTCAATGGGTTCCAGGGGCCAGTAGGAGCCTCCTCCTTTATCACGTGCTATAATCTGTCTACAATTAACATTCCCCCAGTAGACTGAGCTCTCAGATTCTAGTACCTGCACCCAGCGCAGGCCAGGCATTAGGTGGGCACCCAGCTCATGCCTGGCGAATGAAACCTTGTGCCTCTCCCGAGAGCATTCCCTGAGGGCGCGCTCGGAAAAAGCCCGCTGCAACTGGCCTGGCCCTTCCCTCCCCGTCGAGTCCGTTTTATCCGTCAATCTTCCTGCGTCCGTCTGCCGGCCAAGGCAGGGCTGTCGTTTTCTTTTTTTTCTTTTTCGAGATGGAGTTTCGCTGTTGTTACCCAGACCGGAGTGCAATGGCACGATCTCGGCTCACCGCTATCTTCGCCTCCTGGGTTCAAGCAATTCTCCTGCCTCAGCCTCCCGAGTAGCTGGGACTACAGGCGCGCACCAGCATGCCCAACTAACCTTTGTATTTTTAGTAGAGACGGGGTTTCACCTTATTGACCAGGATGGTCTCGATCTCTTGACCTTGTGATCCACCCGCTTCGGCCTCCCCAAGTGCTGGGATTATAGCCATGAGCCACCGCGCCCGGACGGGTCTGTCGTTTTCGATTTGAGGATTACAAGCTCCCAGGAAGGACTGCTCTCGGTAGCGCCCTAAAGCTGCAAAAGACTGGTACGCCTGGGCCCCAGCTGACGCGACCCAGAGAGGGCGACAGCGGCCCAAGGCGAAAAACAGCGGAGGAAGGCGCCGCCGCCGCCGTTAAAGGGGGTTGGTCCTGTACCTAACTTGGGGGCCCCACCCTGAGGTGCGAGATCTGGAGGCCGCAGCGCTGCATCACCCACCTCTGCCAGGGCCTTTTCGGCCGCCCTGCTCCGCTGCCCCGGACACAACCAGCGCCGCCATCACCTTCCTGCCCACGTGATACTAAAAAGACAGCGCTGGAAGAACGCGGAGAGCGCAGACAGTGCGATCGATCGCCGAACGGGCGGGGTCTGGGAAACTCGCTGGGCGGAGTCATAAAGGAGGAGATAGGGGTGGGGCTACAGTGGGCCCCGCCTCAGCCCAGAACCTCCGGACTCTGGCTTTCCTCGGGGTCCCGGACCAGGGAAAGCAGTTACCCTCTCCCTGCGACCCAGTCCACAACTTCACTCCCCGGCCGGGCACGAGCCTGGCGCTTCCGGAGCAGTGCTCTCCTATGTGCGAACTCCGAGCACGAGTTCTGCCGACCGAGTCTTGTGAATGGGGACACTCACCAAGTCTTCCTTCAGTCCCCCTGCCAGTCTCCCCACAAGCACTGGTGGGTCTGCCCGCCGCCGCGTGGGTCACGTTTGCTACCTAGGGGGGCCCCACTATCCGGCAGGACAGAGCTCAGGGACCACCAGCCCAGCTCCGAGTCTACAGCCTTGTAAGTTTCCAGATCGCCCTTATCACCTTTATTTATTTATTTTTTTTTTGAGACAGGGTCTCCGTCTCTCGCCCATGCTGGAGTGCAGTGGTGTGATCATGGTTCACAGCAGTCTCAACCACCTGGGCTCAAGCGATCTTCCTGCCTCAGCCTCCTGAGTACCTGGGACCACAGTCGTGTGCCACCATGTGCAGCTAATTTTTTTTTTTTTTTTGGTAGAGATAAGGTCCCAGTATGTTGCCCAGGCTGGTTTTGAACCTCTGGACTCAAGCAATCCTCCCACTTAGGCCTCCCAAAGTGCTGGGATTACAGGCAGGCATGAGCCACTGCACCCAGCCCTTATCACCTTTAGAACCCACAGTGTAGATGCTGTAGAAGGTTGCCATGGGAGAAACTGCCTCTCTGGGGAAGGCCCACAGCCTGAGGGTGCTCTCCTGGGAGGGTGGGCAGTCGAGGACTGTGATGTCTAAACCTTCTGGACCCTGGCCAACCTTTGCCCTGCCCCCTCAGGGCTAGATAGTCTTTCTCCTGATCATTGGCCAGAGCCCCAGGGACCCGGAAGAGAAGACAGCCAGTGAGACAGCTTTGACCTTTGGAAGAGCAAGTACCCGCAGGACTGGCCCTGAGCGAAGTCCAACCACTGGAACAATGGTCCCCCAGGGCTGAATGTCCACCCAGCCCCCTGGCATCCTCCTCCTCTCTCCGCCCCAGTGCTTCGAGCACGGCTGGCCCTTTAAGTCAGCTCTGTGGCCTCAGGTTCCCCAGAGGCCCTCCCTGCTTAGAAACCTCTAATTAAGGTGCAGGGAGAAGTGAAAACAAGCAGCCAGAGACAGGCCCTGCCTCGGAGGCTGCCCAAGGAGCAGGAATGGCTGAGCAGGCTGGGAGTGAACAGCCAAGGGCAGGATCATGAAGGGTCAGTGCCCTGCCCTTTGGGCCACCGCTTTTAGGACAGTTAACTTTAGACAGAAATGTGGCCAGTGTGGGTCCCAGGAACACTCCCCTCAACTTGGTAAGTGTCCAGATGGGATCTTCCCATCTCTCCCCAGCTTCTCTGGATTCCTAGCGGGCAAGATCTGAATTCCGGGAGCTCAGCTCCTCCTCTCTCAGGACACCAATGCCCAGCCAGTGGACAGCCTTAGCTCTGGCTGCAACACTGAGCTTCCAGGGGAAAAGACTGGCTCCAGCTGAGCAATGGCTTCTCCCTAGCAGGCGCCACATCCCTCAGGACCTTCCCTCATCGGAGGTGAGGCCTGTTGATGGCAAAGTTCCCATCTTCTTGTAAGGTGCCCCAGATCCGCTGTGCCTCATGAGCTGCCCTGGCTCCCGTTAGGAAACCAAGATGATGACTGGGAAAACTGACATAAAGAATAGATGTGAGAATGCGCCCCAGGACCCCGCAGAGCAGGACACTGGGGGCTGCCACTCCTCATGGGCCGAGGACACCTCCATCTGTCTGTGGGGGTCTCCCTGCCTGAGTTACTCAGCAGTCTGAGTAATTACTGACAAGAAGGCGAGCACAGTGCACCCCCACATTATACCACAGCACCCGCCTTTAGTCGCCCCCACCCCCTGGCTGGACTCCAAGGCAGTACCCAGCCCTCCCGAGGCCTGAAATAACTCTGCTTCTCACACTCACGCCCAGCTCCAGCCAACTTTTCCTAAGATGCTAGAGTTTGTGGGCTAGGGGGTCATGGGGAGGCAGCTTGGGGAGGTAGAAGGAGGATTATCCCACATTCGGGCCCTGAGTCAGGCCCATCTGTTATGTGACATTGAGCAAGTCTCTGGGCTTCAGTGTACTGACAGAGGACCTCAGGTCTCAGTGTCGGGGCTCAGGCAGGGGGCAGGGGCAGCACTGCCTTGCAGCTGGTGGCTAAGAGAAGGAATGCCTCACCTTCTGTTCCTACCCCAACAGGGACCAATCTTTCTTTTTTTTTTTTTTTTTTAACTGCTCTTTGTGGCCACAGGCAGTGTGCCCAGAGTAGCAGCCATCGATCTTTTTTTATCTTTAAACATTTTTTTTTTTTGAGATGGACTTTCGCTGTTGTTACCCAGACTGGAGTGCAATGGCACAATCTTGGCATAACCGCAACCTCCGCCTTCTGGGTTCAAGCAATTCTCCTGCCTCAGCCTCCCAAGTAGCTGGGACTACAGGTGCGCACCACCATGCCCAGCTAAGTTTTAAATTTTTAGTAGAGACGGGGTTTCACCTTGTTGACCAGAATGGTCTCGATCTCTTGTCCTCGTGATCCACCTGCCTCAGCCTCCCAAAGTGCTAGGATTACAGGTGTGAGCCACCGCGCCTGGCTAAACATTTTTTTTTTTTAATAGACATGGAGTCTCACTGTGTAGCTCAGGCTGGTCTTGAACTCCTGTCCTCAATCAGTCCTCCCACCTTGGCCTCCCAAAGTGCTGAGATTACAGGTGTGAGCCGATGGTCCTCAGGAAGGACCAATCTTATTCATCTTCAGAACAGGGTTACTTCTCACCTTCAAGCATCTGCTGGAATGCCCTTCCCCCTTCTCAGTGGCCAAACTCAGCCCTCAAGGCCTAACTCCAAGGGCACCTCTTCTGTGACTGTTTCCTGATTATCCCTTGGCAGAGCTAGCAGAGCCCTTTCTCAGTCTTTGTGACTTCTGTCACATTCTAAGATGGTTTGTGGGTTTTTCTTCTCCCATGACACCTGAAACTTCTGGAAGTCCAAGCCCAGATCCTTAGTTCAAATCTGAAGCTTCAGTGCCAACAGATGCATGCATGTCAGACTGGCCTTTTTTGTTTGTTTGTTTTGTTTTGTTTTGAGACAGAGTCTTGCTCTGTCACCCAGGCTGGAGTGCAGTGGCATGATCTCGGCTCACTGCAACCTCCATCTCCCAGGTTCCAGAGATTCTCCTGCAGCCTCTCAAGTCGCTGGGATTACAGGCATGTCCCACCACACCTGGCTGATTTTTTTATTTTTTAAATAGAGACAGGGTTTCACCACGTTGGCCAGGCAGGTCTCAAACTCTTGACCTCAAGTGATCTGCTCAGCGCTCAGCTTGGCCTCCCAGAGTGCTGGGATTACAGGCATGAGCCACCGTGCCCAGCCTTACCTTTTTTTTTTTTTTTTTTAACCGAGGTGGAGTTTCACTCTTGTTTCCCAGGCTGGAGTGCAATGACATGATCTCGGCTCACGACAACCTCCACCTTCTGGGTTCAGGCAATTCTCCTGCCTCAGCCTCCTGAGTAGCTGGGATTACAGGCACATGCCACCATGCCCAGCTAATTTTTTGTATTTTTAGTAGACACGGGGTTTCACCATGTTGACCAGGATGGTCTCAATCTCTTGACCACATGATCCACCCACCTTGGCCTCCCAAAGTGCTGGGATTACAGGCTTGAGCCACCGCGTCCAGCCTACCTTTTTTTTTTTGAAACAGAGTCTTGCTCTGTCACCCAGGCTGGAGTGCAGTGGCACAATCTTGGCTCACTGCAAACTCCACCTCCCAGGTTCAAGCGATTCTCCTGCCTCAGCCTCCCAAGTAGCTGGGACTCCAGGGGCGCACCACCATACCCAGCTAATTTTTGCATTTTTAGTAGAGACCGTGTTTCATCATGCTGGCCAAGCTGGTCTCAAACTCCGGACCTTGTGATCCACCTTGCTCTGCCTCCCAAAGTGCTACGATTACAGGCGTGAGTCACCGCTCCCGACTCTGACCTTTTTGACCTTCCTATCATGTCACCTTTTTCTCCAAGGAGGGCTTCAGCTGGATTTCTGCTTGGATGTCACCTGTTCTGAGCAGCTTTCCTTGACCGACACCCCCACCCCTGTGTCAGCTCCAGAACAGCACTGGGCTTGTTTTTCTTCTAAGCACAATCTCCCCATCTTCTCTGGACTTTCCCCATTTGGCCCCTATTAAAATGTAAACTCCTTCAGGACAGGGCAAAACCAAGTCTTTTCTGTCTGTGTCCCACACATCCATGCTGAGCCTTCGGTGAATGTGTGTGGAGTGAGGGACTTGGTCCAGCCACTCTATTTCTTCCTTCCGAATCCCTCTGATCCCAGGCCAGTAGGGGGTGCCGCCTCCACCCAGGAGCTCGCCTGTCCCCAACCTTCTCTTTCCTCAGCCCAACAGGCCCCTGTGGGACCCGCTTTCCAAGCGGCCCCCTCTCCTTTTTCCGCGAACCCCCTGGCGGGGTCTGTGTGGACCCGGGGAGATCAGAGACCCCACCCACCCACGCGGAGACAGACCATCCGAACCCGCGCGAGTCCTTCCTTCTCCCTGGAATTTGCAGCGGGCCCCTCCGGAATGCTTGTTCCCGTCCACTCCCTACAAAAGAACAGTGTCCTGGGTCTCGGGGTGCGGGGCGGCCCGGTTTGCTGGCGCGGTTCTGTGCGGGGAGGAGCCGTCGAGACTGGGAGAAGGGGCGCTGGCCGGGGAGGAGGCGCGGCCAGGG